AAGTATCGGACATATCAAATCACTACGATTTCGAAACTCCGCCTGAGTTGGTAGATCATTTGGCAGTCGTTCTTGCTGGGCTTTAAGGATATCCCTTCTGTCTGCGCCCTGTTTTTTTAGTCCTGTGTAAGCTCCGTTTTGCAGCTTGTTTTTCTTGCGACAAGCGACGATGTTGACGATGTTGAGGATGACGACCATTTTGCTGCTGCCTTGTGAGTTTTTATCACTCGTCCTTCTTTTCGTGCTGAGCCCTTTTTGCAAACTGAGAAAAACAGCGCAATTTACCTGCATTTTAGGTGCACTGCCTGATTCGCATTATCATCGCCAATTCGTGTTCCCAAATATGATGTTACAAAATCGGTTCATCTCGTTGATGCAATTACTATGCTAATCAGTAATGCCGAAGCAGGCGTAGTTTTTCTCCCTGTGTAGTTGCCTTCCGCAGCTTGCCCAATGTTATGTAGTTAATGTGGCGTTCTAAAACGCAGTAGCTGCCCGCCTTCTTTTCCGTCTATAATATATGTAAACACTCAACCGCACACGCACACTCGCACACTTACACCCACACCGACGAGCAGGCAGCGCACATCGCATATTTGTATAGCATACTTTTTTGCGTAGTTTGTCGTTGTTTTCGCATTTGTTTGCCAAAAAAGTGGCTGTCGTCTGCGCAGCTTGGGGGATGAGGGGCTGTGGGGCTATGGAGTGTGTGTTAGCAACTTCATTTATTCGCTGTCTGTGGAGAGTGTGTGCATGCGTGTGTTTGGCTCCAACAAGTTCCTGCCTAGTTGGCAGACTAATGTAAATGTTTGTCTTCCACCCAGCGAATCTGAAGTGTTGCCGCTGCTCCTGGACTCACTTTCATTCCTTTCGCGATTTGCTACGGAGAAGCAATGGTTCCTGCTTATAAGTTTATCACTTTTTATGAGAGCAGTGACTGGCATCATTGCGGATGCTGATGGGAACGAAAATAAGTTATCTAACGCAAAGTATTCCTTGTGTGTTTTTAGCGGCCTATACGTTCAGGGCTTCAAGTTTTCAGTTTCTTCTACAGCTGGGGTGCTTAAAAAATATTTCAACCACAAAGCACGCGCATATATTTCGCAGACTTTTCCACACCCCTCCCCGATTTCAGTTGCTGCTTTTGACAGTTTTGTGTACTGTCAATTTAAGGCAGCAGTGTGTGTGTGTGTGTGTGTGTGTGGCTTCTTATATTGTTGCCACCCCTTGACCCTCGCCCTCCCGGCAAAACACCACCCCTTGGCCACCCTGTCTGCCAGTATGGCCTGTGTACCGGCTTTAAAAACATCTTCAATTTTTCTTGGTTCCATTTTTTCACATTGCTTTTTTGCGCTCGTGGGGCGGCAACGGGCGGATGGGCGTCCGAGAAAGGGGGCGTGGGCTTTGGGCCACGCCAGAAACTTGTATTTGACAGACCCTTGTCTTCATATGTGCCACAACTATCGTCGTTGTCGGTTGCTCGGTTGTTGGTTGTTCAGTTGTTTGGTTGTCCTGCTTCAGCCCATTCCTTATAGCTTCCTTATACACTGAAAATCGCAGGAGCTAATACATACTAGCTAACTAATATTCACTGTGTGAATCGGAATAAGCAAACCAATATGCTTATTCTGTTTTCTTCTAACCGAACGCATTCTAAACCAATTTGGCAAATAGGTAATAAGTTCACGCCTTGCAGACTTTACTTGCAGTGCAGCTGCTTTTTAGCTGCTGCTCGTTATTACACCCAGCTGTATAAAAAAACATGTATATATATATCATTATATGCGCCTTCGTACCCCGCATAAATTGTCGCTGCGGGTAGGATGTGCAGGACATAAAGACGACGTGCCCCGCCCCCGAGCTGCCGCCCCTTTCGGTGTCATCACATTTGCACTGCATGATTGATCGTTTACAAATAAGCAGAGTTCTCCTTCGCCGCCTGCTTAGCAGCTCAGAATACAAAAAGGACGAAGGACCTCGCCTCCGTAGGATCCTGACAGGCAAGGGCTGTGCAAATGATATGTGGCTAATTTGAACCGGATAAGGGATTGGAACTCGATTGAAAGGCACTTGCTGGGCCTAATTGGACGAGATGCAGGTGTAGTCTAACTTGAATTCACGCAAAAGGTATTTATGACATCTAATTATTTTTGAACATCTAATTATTTGGAATAGCAACAGCCGATGCTGCAGTTTTTCTCCCAGCCACTCCATTCCGCACCGGAAAATCCCCGGAGAAGAATCAAAACTTTCAGCCCGCGCAGAGTGACTCGGAGAAAAACTTTGGTTACTTCGGATGTCTTCATCTACATCCACATCCGCAGGATACGCGCACAGCGGGGGTGTGAAGAAGGATGCCGGGCTTAAAATAATTAAATTGTCAGTGGCAACGGGCGCATGGATGCGGGCAGGAGGGCCGAAAAGGACCAACACTCATTAGATGTCTGTGAGGGAACTGGAACCCTTTGCGCCCCCCACACACACACACGCACACGCACACACATGCGAAACGGCGCCATCAAAATAAATGCCTGTCATTAAACAAATTGTCGCAATAAATCTGCGCATTTCAAAGTCAGTGGAAAGTGGAAGCCAAAGGAACTGAAACAAAGAGCCCGGAAAGGAGAGCATTTCACTTTTTGTTTTCTTTTTTTTTTGGTTGGTAAACCGGGGATATAAAGGAGTTCTTAAGTGGATGTGGGGCTGTGCGATCATTAGCGCTACTCAAAGTCATCCGTAATCCGGATGGAGCAGCAAATACGTGCCCATACTCTGGGGCCGGAAAATTCACCCCATTGAGGGCAAAGAAAAACCTTTTTTGCGGCCGCCGCTGTTTAGGCAATTTTCTAATCACAATAAATAAACAAAAGTCAATCAGACAGCAAAAGCAATTAGAAAATGGTAGCCAAGTTAATTAAGCGCCATAAAAACGACATTTTCCCGCACTCGCCTTTCTTTTTCCCGGCATTTCCCTCTGTTGTCCTTAAGTAGAATGTTGTCTCAATCTCAATAGATAGAAATCAACGTTGGCCGGGACATATAAAAAAGGAGGACAGAGCCGAGCATAAATTAAAATACATAAAGGAAAGGCTAAAAAACAAGGCCATCGTGGAAGGCGAGGGAAAGCGGGAAAAGCGGGAAAGCCCCAAAGCAAACCAAGGCAAATACATCAACCGAGCTGAGGAAGCAGGAGAACAAGAAGCCGAGCCAGATAAGATGGCATTACAATAAAAAAGGAAAACAAGAAAAATACAGCCGAAGTTTCCTCCGAATTGGTAGAGACCAAAAATGGAAACCAGCTGGCTAAAGCTATACCCTGTAATACCCTGTGTAACTTAAGTGGAAGTGGTAAAACTAATTCATAAAAGTAATAATAATCTACTCCAAAGTGAACTCAATAAAAAGGTTACAAAGCGGTTGATTTACAAACCGCACCTGATTAAACTATTAAGCAGACAAAATTCGATATAATATATTTTATAGCACTATCATATGGTTTCATTTACTGTATGACAGCGGAAAAGGATCATTACATAAATGAAATTCAAGCGGACATGATACGATATGCTACGAAATCAGTCAGTTTGAGATACAAATCTTATAATCTTCCAAGCTGCACCTTGAAAGGATTGCTTTCAAATAAAGCATCTATACTCGTACTTCGTAATATGTGCCTGCCGCATCGCGAACTTCCTGCTCTGTAGGGTACAAAAGTAAGTTGCCAGGACATGGAGCAAACCCAACAAGGACAACGAGGACGACGAGCAGCGACAACTCTCAAGGCAGTCTGACCATCATTGGAGCTCGGCGGGCGCGGAGGGCTAAAAGGGGGGCTGCCGGCAAGTTGGCAACAAATTTATGAGCAAATTAATTGAGATTGGAAACGCTGGGAGGAAAGCGTAGAAAAAAAGCGGAGAAGAAAACAAAAACAACGACGCAGAGACAACGGGCAGGAAAAGAACACGGCTACCCGATGTCATCCGACATTTCTCCCCGCCTGCGTGTGTGTGTGTGTGTGTGTGTGTGTGCAGGCTTGTTAGTGTGCGGTCGGTGGGTGTTTCTAACTTAATTGAGAGACAAGTCAATAAACAGGAAGCGAGAGCCGGGCTAAAAGTCAGAGCAGCCAAACGGCAAGAGGGAAAAAGCATGGCGAGCGGAAAAGAAATGGAAAAGAAAACAAGAGGAAGAACCGGAAGCGGAGGTCGAGGGAATGCCCTGCATCCCTGTGCATGTATGTGTGTGTGTGGCAGAGTGCCTTATAGTAGAAACATGTGTCCTTGGCGAAAAACAAGTCTTGAGCTTGGCTTTACGGCTTGGAAATCAAAAATAAAAGAATGAGCGCTTTTCCTATCCAATTCCTAATACCATATTCAATTTAGAAATATTTATTCAACGATCTTTTATAATTGTATGTGATTAAACAGGATTTTACTGATTGTGGTGTTAGTTCTTACTCAATTTGAATATGGTTATCTATTATTTGCTACCCTTTTATGCATATTCCCTATATACATTCCGCTTCCCAACTATTTTCCCTAGTTCTGCCACTGCACTGCAGGTCATCCAAAGTTCCCTTCGAGCTGTTCGATTTTCTAGTTTCATCTCTTGGGGGGCTATTATCTGTCCGCCCAATAAAGCCCCACCCCCTCCGCCATACATTTTCCCCTGCCGTCCATTGCGCATTTTGAGTCGCATCGCGATGTCCGCATAAAAAATAACACTAACACAGAGGGACACATGGTGCGGGGGATGCGGGGGATGCGGGGCGGGCCATGAACAAATAAAGCCATAAATCTTGGCCACTCGCGAAAGGGAGTCTCCGGGCGGGATGGGGCACAAGAAATGGATGGGATGGTGGAGAGGACTTGGTCAGATCGCTGCTGCAAACAAAACAAATCTCGTTGTCTACACAACGGGAGCCAGTGTCATGCATGGCAATGTTTGCCCCTCAGCTGGTCCAACTGCCCCCTTTCCGCCGCCACTGACCCACTGCCACCCACCTTGCCGCTGGAGTCCTGCATCTTGGCCTGCGTCTTCGAGCTGGGCTGCTACTGCTGCTGCACTGCGCGAAACGAATGGCCGCTTTACATCTTTTTCAAATCAGTATTTATGGATCTTGAGTTCCTTACTTTTGTTTTTCCACGAGTGGAAATAGGGTTTTAGTAAGGCTTTTTGATTTTAAATGCTGGCTTTTTGGAAGCCTCTACATATATTTAAATATTACGACTTAAATATCAAGTTTCTTACTTAGTCATAGATTTTAGCTTCCATTTAAATTGTATTTTTATCCCTTTTATAATATTTTGTAAGCCCCTGGCAACTCTGGCAACCTATCTCAATAATAATCCCTTTCTTTCAGTGCCCCTTCTTTGGTCTGTTGCAATTTGTGGTGTCGCTTGTTGTTTGCCTGCCGCCTCCACTTGATCCATTATCCTTTCAGCCAGCTATAGGCAAAGGGCGGGAAAGGAGGCGGGGCAACCCTGTTCTGTTCTGTTCTGTTGTTGTCATTAAAATTCAAGGCATACAAAGTCATTAAATTATACGCGACATCTTTTGTATAGATGCGTTCGGGTTGGTGTGTCTGTGTGTGTGTTCTGTGAGAGTTAGGTGTGTGGGGGTGGGGGGTGGAGGAGGTGGAGAGGGGCTTAGGGTGGGCGGAAAAGTGTTAGGCGGGGGCGTGGCTCGGGAAATGGCAGTGAGCTGATTTCGCAACGACGGCATCGTGATGCGATTAAGCAATCAACCAAATTGCCAGCCCGACACCAAACTTGAAAGGAAATTACACGTTCCACGGCGGCGCGGGGTGCTGGGGGGCTGGAAAACGAGGGGCGGCGGAGGAAAATCAGGGGGCGGGCCAGGGCTTGGGCTACGTGGCAGAGATAGAAGATATCAGCAGAGATATATGGAAGCTAAGGCACTCATTGCTTAAGCAAGCAAACAACAAAGTCAACATGACGGCAGAGCGAAAGAGTAAGCGTCTGTCCGCAAGAAAGAGAGAGCAGGCGTGGGGAAAAAGAGAGGGATATATTAGAGACGAGACGGTGAGCGGGGCAGCTAATCAAAGTAATTACAAATGGCCATTTATGTGCAACACTATATAATAACATCTGAGTATGTTAAATAAACTGTATGTTTGGCTAAAAAAAGGCGATACATATTTTTAACGAACTGAAAATTGAATGCTGGCCCATATTTGAAAACACTTGCATGCTTCCCAATTCAGTTGCCTAACATGTTTTCCCTGTCCGAGTTTGAATCGCGCCAACTCGATCAATTTGTTTTGATTATGCTTATAACTGGCATCCACATCCACTTGCCACTTGCCACTTGCTACTTGCCACTTGCCACTTGCCTCCTTGTAGTCATAGTGCCGCAAATGGGGCTATACGCGGAGTCGAGTGCGAGTGCACAAGTTGCCGCATCGCGTGGTACATCCCACATAAACCCATCAAAAGTGTCGGCAAAGAAGTCGCAATTGCTTTGGCCAACTGAAACTAACAAAAACCAGCAAGCTGCCAATTTGCGTATGTAATGTGGAGACACAGTGGCGTGGGAAAAGGGGGCCAAGGACTAGATGGCGGCGCTTAGGAGCTCAAATTCATGGCCAAAAACCCGGAGACGAGAAGAAAGCCATACACATGACATTGCCGACGCTCGGGCGCTGGGGGAAAACTCCACTTTGCCGGGAGAATTCCAGCAGGACGCAGCGGAAACCCGGAAAAGCGTGAGAAAAACAACAATTTGGCTTGGGACGAGAGCGAAAGAGATGGCCGCAGAGTGCGAGGAGTGCGACGCAGACACAGCTGTGCGAAAGGGAGATGTGCTTTGGCTACACTGTGCGAAATGCACACAACATATGCCGTAAGTGTTGCACAACTAAGCTAAGTAAGAAAGTTGCGGCACACCACGCAGCTACATATTCCAATTAGAGGTGAAAGAAGCGTGAAACTGACACTTTTCTCTCAGTGTGGCCAGGAGTGACGGCGCCACACGCCAAGACAAATTATGCTGTTGATAAGCGCGACAATGGCGGAAGCGCAGACACATCTAAGCCGGAGTCACTGGCTGGGGGGGGGGATTGTGTGCAGGGGGAGTGGCGGGGCGGGGGGGGGGGCGGAGACTTTGTAACTGACACTGACACGCGCGCAAGTGGCTGCCCCCCGCCCCTCGCCGCCGCCCACGTCTCTTGCCTCTTTTGTTGCGAGCCAACGACCCGGCATCGCATTGGGATTACTTATAAAAGGTTATTTAACCCATTAGAAAAATGCTGAAGAGAGTGCATTGAAGACTTTATGGGTCTTCCGATAAACACTCCTTAAAAACTTGATCACTTCCGATACTCAACTTTCACACAAGTCAAACGAAAGACTCCTGGCAATGAGTTGTTTTACACCCAATCAGTTGCTATTGTTTGAGTAAGGCAGCCATTGCACTTGGAACTTTGTTGGCACTGCAATACATGTGCATTTAGGCCAGGAAGTAAAATAGGTTAATGTAATCAGGCTCTATTTTCTAGTTATGTAGCTATAAATAAAGATAATCAAGATGATCATAAAGATGATCAAAACTGCATAAACAAACCCAAGTAAACCCGGCAGAATTATCCCTTGTTCTTTTCACATTCAGCGGCATCTGTTGCGCCTCGCAGCAATATAAACATTTCAGCCTAGTGGCTTTAAATAAACTACAAATAGGGCAGACAAATAATAAAAAATTCCGACACCTTTGCAGTGGCGCCATCTGTCGAAATTGCTGGCAAGCTCCAGTGATACTTGATCCACTGGATCTGCACCGTGTTCATTTTGCGACCTTAAATGATTCTGGCCAACAAAGTATGCTTTCCCGCAGTGAGCCGTGGGCAGCTTTTGGGCCGCTCTGATCTGAAACAATGGGAGTGGAGGAAAAGGGACAGCCACTCGCTCGACCGGCATAAATCATCGAGCCAAATAAATCACAGCGAAACGAGAGGGGAAAAGGACGGATTTTCGAGGTCGGGGGGTATAGAAAATCTTTGGCGCAACTTTGAAGATCTAAAAAATTATTAATAATGCAGGAGACGCCTTCTCGAGGGGCCGCAACTTTGAATCCGAAATCTGGAAACAATCAAATATTAAGGCTTAGGTCCATTTACATTTTGGGTCGGCCAAGCTGAAAGTCGATTAAAGTGAGCAAAGAAACTGGTCTATATATACCCACTATATGCATCATTTCAAAGCGTTCATTCATTTTCGGCGACGCTTAATTTCAATGGTAGTAGTCATAAATACCACATGTCAAGTAATAAAACTTGCTATAATATTGCGCATACGCAGTGTTGCGCACACTGCTGTTCCTTGTATACATGGCTTATTATTTCAAGCGAAAACATTTTTTATATTTTTTCCAGCACAAACAAAGCCAGGAAGTTGTCATATATATTGATACACCCGAAATAATCGATATTAAGTCGGGGCATTTAAATTGCCAGCAGGACTCTCCATCTCATATATCATCCCATTGTGGGGCAGGCTGGCCAAAGATAAAGGCCCCACCCCCCCCACGCCGCTGCCCCTTAACCCTTCCAAAATAGAAAAGACGCCAGGAGGACAGCGGCAATGAGGGCAGCGATAAGACGGCAACGCGGACACCCAGCGAACCGCGGGAAACTCTGCGCTTTTCCGGCGCCCCTTTAAACTTGCCCTTTTCTGTGTGTATGTGTGTGTGTCCGTGGGGGGGGGGAGGTGTGGAAAAGGGCGTCCTGGCAGCGAAACATGCAAATGAATACTCCGCAGGACGGCTTAAAGGCGAGCACTTTTTCAAGGACTGGCCGCGGCGACTTTCTGTTCTGTTGCGCTAAATTTATGCAACAGGCTTTTGGCCCATTTGTAAAATATGCGCTGTCATAAAGCAGCGGGCGAGAGCTACAGCTTGGAGTAGTCCTGGGAGTCCTGGTACTCCAAGCACCAAGCACCAAGCCCCAAGCTCCACCAATTCGCAACATTATTGGGCCTGGCCGGGCACTGTCTGAATCGCTTTCCCGCTGCACGTACAGGCATATAATTTTTGCCAAATCAGAATATTTATGCGTCTAGCCGCACACAACACACAGCCAGTGGCGGCGGGGGGCAATTTGGGGAGGGGGGCCTGGCGACTCACTGAGCTCGACGAGGGGACATAAAAAAATTACAGCACGCTTGAAAAAACGCGACAAAAACACGCAATGGATATGACTTTTATACAAAGCTTTGGCTGCAGACTCCCGGCCCATTTTCTCTGCCCGTGGAAAACCCTTTTCAGTTGCAGTGCTACACTGTGGCAAAATTGCGAGGTTATGTGAAGTGTACGCGAACAACATCTACGACTAATTCAAAGTTAAATAAATTGAAGGAATAATACTATAATAATACTTTATTAGTCATATTTGTTTTGAAAATAAGATCAGTTCTTATGCATTGTTACAGCATTTGGGAATGAGAAAAAAATGTAAAAAAATGAGATAATGATTAATGAAAGTGAGCTAAAAAATATATTTTTTTAAGTTAGGTGAGACTTTTCTCTCAGTGCCGCATCCACAGCCAGGACAGCCGGTCGATGGCGGTGGCTGCTGCTTATTGAAACGCATTTGCAGTGCAGCCGGTGCAAGTGCGTCCACCGACACACACACACACACACCCACACACACACACACAGCAGTTTACTAACACACTCGCACACCCGCCCACTCACGTTACGCACACAACTGCACTCGACCGGGAAGTAAAGTGTACTGGAGGCGGATATATCGATTATTCGATTATTTCTGACCTCCCCACCGAAAGCAAAAACACAAAGCCGGCGAAAAAGCTGGAAAACTGAAAAGGATGTTGCATATAAACATATAACGTATACGCCATGGGTGCTTCGTGCTTGGGAATTTCCACTCCAAACTATTCAGCAGGTGAATTGCTAAGTGGAAATACAATAATTCACAATTGAAACTTGGATGAATATGAATATCAATATGAATATTTAGGAAGACGACAATAGCCGGTAAGCTATTTGC